CAAGGCCTCTTTCAGGTCTCCAGTCTGAGCGGTCACATTGCCAAGCTCATGCAGAGCGTCTGCAATTCCTGGGTGCTGAATGTCACCGTGCAAGGACCGCTCGATTCGCAAAGACTCTTTCATGTACCACAGTGCCTCTTTCAGGTCTCCTGTGTGAGCAGTCACAACACCAAGCTGGTGCAGAGTGTCTGCAATTCCTTCGTGGTCGCAATCACCGTGCAACGATTGCTGCATTCGCAGCGACTCCTTCAGCTGCTCAATGGCTTCCGCGTCATGACCTTGAAGTCTATTCATCTGACCGAGTCTCGTCAGGATGAGGGCCACTTCCATGCTGTCGCCTGGCCTCAGGGACCGCTGCAATTGCAATGACTCGTTCAGATGCTCAATGGCTTCTGCCTGGTGACCTAGATTCATTTTCACCTGACCAAGTCTGGCCAAGATCAGTGCCAGTTCCTGGCTGTCCCCGGGCTGCCGAGCTCTTGCCTCAAGCAGCTGGTGCTCAAGCTCTTGCAGCTTCGCCAAGTCAGTTCCACCGGGCATCGACTCCGGCAGCGCCAAGTCTTCTGGCCAGGCACCCCCAGTGTCCTCGGTGATGGTCCCTGGGAACTGCCGCGGCTGAGATGGCCGAGTTCTGCTTCGAGTCTGATCCGTTACGGAATACACTGATTCTATCTCAGAAGGAGGATGCATGAGCAGGTAAAGGACAACGGACGAGGAATGTAGACCTGAGGCATGGCAAAGCAGGTATCATATAGTGGCCCCATTCTAGCCCCAAGACATAGTCGACAAGCATCTGTTAGACCGTTAACACTGGGAAACTGTTCAACACCAAGCAAACAACATTGATGAAAATGGTTCTGGACAGCCCAGGTGCCTGATACAAGTCTTGGCAGTACGATCGGTTGCAGCAGCTCCTCTATTCGCCTTGCGGCGTGGATGAAGATACAAGCAGCTTCCACATGAAGGGTTCGGATATCCCCGACAGCTTCTTGCCGTGCTCTTTGAACGATGTCAGCCAAGATCTCAGAGACATCCCCATTCACCACTTCCGTGCCAAGGTACTTGTCTCGAGTAACTTCCAACACCTCCAGAATTGTGCTGCATTTGCCCTTCAGCCAAGTCATCAAGTCCCACACGTCCACTGCCTTCTGTTCGTTCCCTTCTTCCTGCAGGTCTTCAGGAAGTCCTTCCAAGACCTTCCGAACTCTGCTCACCATGTCATTGAAAGCTTCTCGCACTTCTCGATCTCGTTGCAGAAGCACTGGGCCACATGTCTGGTTCAGCGACCTGGCATGGTCGACTCGTCAAAAAGCAGCAGTTGAACTCGCACTGGCCAAAGGAATGGCATCTCCAGCATTTGGGTGACCAAGTACTTGCAAAGCTTAAATTTAAATTGCTGGAAAGATCCGCACATGTTCTTTGCACTTTTCAAATATGGAACACTTGGGTCTAAGTTGTCTCCCAATCCACACGAGCCAATGAATGTCTATCTGACTATTTTTAAACAACAAAGCAACAGGAAACTACCCACAATAGTGAGGTTGTTTGCAAACCTATAGCGAAAAACAAGACGAATACTGGTGTGTTGCGGAAAGCTTCCACGGGCCCCATGTTCGGGGTCCAAAGGTCATTGAACTATGTAAAGGTAACGTCCCATCGCAGGGAAGCTTGATGTGACTACTCCCCTAGGCGCCTGCACACCCTGCGGAGCTGACTGAGCTGCTGAAGTGGCAGCCGTTCAACCATGTGGGAAGGCCACAGCACTTCGGTGGGAAGACCAGCCAAGGAACCAGCCATGGTGCCAAACGCAGGTTGCAGATTCAACAATGGGCAAGCTGTGGAGGAATGAACACTTTGGATACTGTTAATTACTTGGACGTGATCATAACATTTCTTTACGACATGTCTTATATGCTTGTTGTCTCCTTGGGTGTGCAAGAAAATACGGACAACAACTCACATGATGCTTAGGTGTATGGGAGCCGGAATGAGCAAGTTCCAACATGAAGGATCCGCGCTTCAGCCCAGTTCCATGATCACATGCTGGACTGCACAGTTCAACAATGTGCTTTCACCAACATTGATGCTGCAGCAAGCAAACAACACAATGAAACAATGGATACAGCGCCAATCTGCGTTCCTCTGCCATGAAACAAGAACCAAAGAACAGTTGACTTGTCCTCTATCTGTTTGTTTCCGTTTCCGTCATCTTTTTCGTTCAGGTGCCCGTTTAGAGGTCGTTCGCGCCCCGTTTGTTTCGTCTTGGCCTCCGGAGCCGTTGGACCGACGGAGCCGTCCTCGCGAGCTTGGCTCGGACTCCGTGGGTGTTTAGTATCTGGAAGGATCTGAGCGAACGGGATCCTGACAATTGGTGGTTGAGAACTGTGTGAATTGTCTTATAAAGCTTTCAGGAAGCAACTCTTGGAAAAACTACTGTAGCGAGTGATCTAGTGAAGTGGGAACTTGGTGCGCGCTCATCGCTGGACTCCAAAGCCTACAAAAGAGGCTATCTGTCGTATCTGTAACAGTGACCATCAAAAGAGCACTTTAGCCTATTGTAAATCTTCCTCAGTGAAACCATGAAACCTCAATGCAACAAAGGACTAAGACTAAGAGGAGCAAACATGTTTTTTTAATGATACGGCGACCACCGAGATCTACACAGCCAGTTGCTGCACCACGTCACACATCTCTGGAGCCCGACGCCTCTCCAGGTCGTCACTCGCTTTTGACCCCAGCATCCTCAGCCGTGGACTCAGGATGTGGGTGGATTAGATCATTGAACTTATCACTATCAATGGCCAACAAAAGGACACATTGTTTGAAAGGGGGCTGGAACGACTCCGACTTAATGGTGAAGTCCACCTCACTCGGGGCGGAAACCATGGATGGTCCACAGGTCTTGTTGCACTGGACTATCGACTTCATCAAAGGAGTCACAACCAGATTTGTGGCCTGGGACCTTGCCCCCGAGATTAAACAGACATTCCACAAAAGAAGCAGAGCAGGTGATGGATTATTTTGATTTTAAGCAAACAAAACTGTGACGCCCGGCACCTGCCAAAGCTTGTCAATGTTAGTATCAATCTAGTGAAAGCCTCCAGCCATCTTTCGTCGTGGTGACGATGCGCCACGACCAGAGCTCGAATCGACTCCCAGCCGAGCAACGAGCGCTCAGCCAGCTTGAGCGACCTCAAGTGACATGACGGGCGGCATCGGGAGGGGGGATGCTCTTCCAGGTGTTGATGGTATATGGGATGCGGATTGAGGAGTCTTTCGGAAAACAAAAAAGAGGACAACACACAAATGAAGTGACAGTAAAGTGAAAGAGAAACACAATATGCGATGTTGTTGTGTTTCTCAGCGACCCTCTAAGCGGCCAGCATGAAATCCACGCGGACCAAGAAACCCATGAATGTGCTCATTAAAGGTCAAATTACTATACTCTCTGCAGCAAATGCTTGGCATACAACATTCAAACAAAGAAGAATAAACAAAACAATGAACCTTTAACAATCCAAAAACAGATGAGACAATCGACCTCTCAGCCATGGGGTCTCACCAGTCTCCCATGATCACGTGGAGGTGAACGGAAGTGAATGGTTTGCCAGGCAATTGGAACATACAGTATAATGGATTGACATGCTGCAGGAAATTCATCACAGTTCATCCCACACCCTGGGGCCATCAACACCTACATCTCAAAAGGGTGAGTGATCCACTATAAGACCTTGTCACACACGCTCACATATCATATTCACGACAAAAAAGAACATCTAAAGAAGCCTCTTCCATATCTTCCATCTGTTTGGGATGTATACCACACGCCATCACAAACATACAACATTGCCTACAACACCGACTCCACAACCGGCACCAAAAACGCCACATGAGCTGTCCCCCCCAAACCTTCCGCCTCGACCTCGCCACTCCCCCGCCCGAATTCCCCCGCCTCTCCGATGATCCGGACGTCGCATTGGGGGTCACCACAAGAGGTCGATCGCAGCCTCCGAGGTGTCCATCACGGCGGATGTCGACGTGGTGACCGAGCCAAACACTCGAAAACGCACGGCTCTTCTCGACTCATTTGGAACATGCTCCCGACCTTCTGGCTGACTGGCTGGGGAGTATATACACCTCATCTGAGTGATGCCCTCTCTAAGCAAAAATGAGGTGGTTTTGGTGGCCAAAGAGTTCTGTACCACGTACAGTAGTTGTTGAACCCACGCCGCTGGCACAAGCAATATTGGGGCCCAACTAACTGATGACTATAAATCAACTCATGAATGTTGACTTTAAGCATTTTAAGAGCATCTTCAACCAAGAACACATTGATTGAAACATCTTGAAACACATTGATTGGCCCCCTCAAATTCATCGGTTTTCCCGAGTAGGCCCCGGTTCTGTTTCCCCCTGCGCCATATATCGCCGAGGGGCCAGGTCAAGCAGTGCATCACCGGTGGCAGTCGAGCTCCTTTAAGGGGCCTTCGGCGCGGTCGGCGTGAGCTGCGAAGGGCTGGAAGAGCTGGGACTCGGTGGTGGCGGTGTTGCAAGAAGTGAAGCTCGAACCATAAGCAGCATGGGATTCAGCATTGCCTGGTACAGTAATTATAGGGAGTTTCATGGAGAAACAAGTAACAGTATAGTTTTCATGTCAGCTTTCATGCCTATTCCCCCAAAAAAAATGCACCGCAATCTGCCAAATCAGCACCTTTTCGTGAGAGTTCACTTCCACATGCAGAATCTCACATACACCAAAGCTGGCTTTTGGCCAGCCTCCAAGCAGCTTAGCAAGCTTGCTCTGATCGATTCCATGCGCGATTTGAGCTTCAAACTGTCGATCTTTTGCACCTGCAGGGTCTACCGGTGTGGCCCACGTTTGAGCGAATGCAGCAAAGACCGGTTCCGAGATGGGAAACACAGATCTGTAAGAATCCCAAGGCAGCCATCAATCACTGCAGTCCACGTAAGGATCGTAAGAAAAAGAGCATTCGCTCCAGCTCAAGTCGGTACTTCTGTGCCTCCTTCAGTTCTCCAGCTTCTGCCATCACCCTAGCCAACATGTGCGAAGTTGCCGTCACCGTGCAAGGACCGCATCATTCGCAAAATCTCTTTCAGGTAATGCAGGGCCTCTTTCATGTCTCCAGTCTGAGCGGTCACACGGCCAAGCTCATGCAAAGTGGCTG